GCTGACTGTCGAGATATGTAGCGCGTCTCGAGTATGGTCGATATCTAGAGTATGTGATAACTAGTCCAGACTCTCTCACTGATCGCTGTACATGCACTAGCACAAACTCTGATATGAGGTTAGGAGGTAATCCTCGGCCTGCTGGTACCGGTAAAACTGAGACTGTGAAGTCCCTCGGTGCACAACTCGGCCGATTGGTAATGGTGTTCTGTTGTGATGAGAGCTTCGACTTTGCTGCAATGGGCGTATCTTCGTGGGCTTGTGCCAAGTTGGCGCTTGGGGCTGTTTCGATGAGTTCAACCGTTTGGAGGAACGGATACTGTCGGCAGTCAGCCAACAGATCTTCTCTATCCAGTCTGGGTTACGACATCAGAAGGATGAAGTGAACATCCTCGATAGAGCAGTGTCCCTCTCTCCTAATGTGGGTATATTCGTTACTACCAATCCTGGGTATGCAGGACGGTCCAAGTTCCCTGATAACCTCAAGCAGCTGTTCAGGCAGGTGGCTATGATAGTACCAGATAAGGTCCTCATAGCACAAGTATTGCTATTCTCACAAGGCTTTAAAGAGGCTGAGGCTTTGTCATCAAGAGTAGTCGATCTCTTTGATAGATGCTCTATCAAGCTGTCGAGTCAACCCCACTACGACTTCGGCCTCAGAGCTCTTAAAAGCGTGTTGGCTAGTGCCGGCAACTTGATGCGCTCCTCTGGGGTACTACCAGCCCCAACTGCCCCAGACTGCCCCTCTGAGGAGGATGAGGTAGACATCGATGCTGAGGACACCATCATACTCAAAGCTATTGCCAACGCTGTGGTACCCAAGTTGGTGGGTGAGGACGTTGTAAAGATGTCTAAGTTGGTGGAAGAGGTATTCCCCGAGACAAAGGTGAGTATACTACAAGGACCTGATGAGACTTTGTAAATATATTGTTAATCAGGCAGCAGCCTTCGATGAGGCCACTCTCGAGTTGCACGTTGTTGATGTATGCAAGGAGAGAGGACTAGATCCTCAGGAAGCCTTCATAGCCAAGTGTCTGCAACTATACCAATTGCAGAAGCTCAATCACGGCATCATCCTGTTCGGTCCTGTTGGCAGTGGCAAGTAGGCTTAGCATCATCACCCTTCTCTAGGGATTCCAGTCTATACCTTAGATCAACGGTTACTGCAGTGCTTTTGGATGCCTTACAACGACATGAACGGATAGTGACCAAACTGCATGTTCTGGAGCCTAAGGCGATGATGAAAGATGACCTCTATGGTCGATTGGATGCTACTACTCGGGAGTGGACCGATGGGATCTTCACTGATATACTACGCAAGATCATCGCCAACAATGCCTCTGCTGCTGCGGCTCCTTCTGCTCATGACCACGAAGAGCATATAATGCAGGAACACTGTAAGCCTACTACCTTTCCTAGACGCCATTGGATCATCTTTGATGGTGATGTTGATCCTAATTGGGCCGAAAACCTTAACTCGGTACTCGACGATAACAAGATGCTCACCTTGCCAAGCGGTGAACGCCTACTTCTGCCTTCAAACGTTAGGATACTCTTTGAGGTGGGGACGCAGCAGGCTCCGACCATCAAACTTCTCTTCAGGTTGACTCCCTAAAGCATGCTACAATGGCTACGGTATCTAGGTGTGGCATGGTGTGGGTCAGCCCTGAGACTGTTACCGACGAGATGATCTGCATGAGGGAGCTGAAAGACCTCCATCGAGCAACACAGTCGCCGTTGGGAACTGGGAGGATGGGCTCAGATTTGGTCAGCGAGGGATGTGTTGATACTCTTCACCGCTTCTTCCATCCTGGAGGGCTAGTGTATAGATCCCTTGCTTATGTCAAGGAGCTACCATCTGGTGTACATATAATGCCATTCACTGCTACTAGAGGTATCAATGCTATGTTCAGTCTGCTAAGTGACCATGTTCACCGTGCTGTCTCTTCCTGTCGTAATGCATCGATAAGAGAGAAGTATCTCGATAAGGCACTAATATTCTCTGTATGCTGGGGGTTTGGTGCTTCTCTCCCCTTAATTCACAGAGAGCAGTTTGCTGTATTTGTGGCATCCGAGGCTGAAGCTTGTGGTGTACCTGTGCCGATAAACTCCTGCCTCCTAGACTATGAGGTTCGAGTAATGGATGGTCAATGGACATCATGGACTAATAAGGTCGGACGGATCGATCTAGATGCATCTCAAGTCCTTAATGCTGACCTTGTTATACCTACCATTGACACTGAGCGGCATGCTCAGTGTATCAATTCTTGGATCGCCTCTAGACGACACTTCATCCTCTGCGGTCCTCCTGGTTCAGGCAAGTCTATGACGTTACTCTCATCTCTAAGGGCTCTGGGCGATTCCCTACAGGTGGCCTCTCTCAACTTCTCTAGTGAGTCCACTCCTGAACTACTTATGCGTACCTTGATGACCTACTGTGAGTGTTGCCAAACTTCTACTGGATGGAAGCTTCGTCCAGCCTCGGGGGAAGCTGCCCCTGGTGGTGGGGCATCTGACAAGTGGCTTGTGGTATTCTGTGATGAGATCAACCTACCAGTCCCCGATGCCTACGGGACACAGAGAGTCATCATGTTTATAAGGCAGATAATCGAGAGCGGAGGCTTCTACCGACCAAGTGATAGGTCTTGGGTCGAGGTAGAACGTATCCTCTTTGTTGGTGCCTGTAACCCTTCTACTGATGCTGGGCGCCATGCTATGAGTGATAGATTCCTCCGTCATGTGCCTGTCCTGTTCATGGACTATCCATCAAGTGACTCTTTGGTACAGATCTACGGCACCTTTATTAGAGCTATGCTTAGGCTCCAACCACAGCTAGAAGAGTATGCTGACATGCTTACTAAGGCAATGGTATCTGTATACACAAGTATAGGACAGACATTCACGGTGGCAGGCTGTGGGCAGCCTCATTACTTCTACTCACCACGAGAGCTCACTAGATGGAAGATTGCCTTGTATGAGGCTATGATGGAATATGACTGCATGTCCCGTATGGACCTTATTAGACTCTTCATTCATGAGGCTATGAGGGTATTCCGTGATCGGTTAACGACAATTGAGGAGCGTACAAGGGCCGATGGGATCATCGATGATACAGCCAAGGAGTACTTCGGAGCCACTGAGAAGGAACTGAGAAGACCTCTCATGTTCTCCCATTATGGCAGTAAATACTATACTGAAGTAAGTGTGTAATAGCCATTCTCACACAAGGCTAAGCCCATCGCTCAACAGTCCCTACTCCTTTCTTCTTGTGGTCGTCAGATTAGCATAGAACGTATGAGAGTATTTGTGGGAGCTAAGCTGGAGGAGTTCTACGAGGAGGCTTTGTCTGTTAAGCTCTCGTTGTTCGATACTATGCTGGATCACATGACCAGAATCGACCGGGTCCTTAGACAACCTCTGGGTAAGGACATGCTATAGTGGCTGATTCATAGACTCTTCTGGCCCTTCAAGGTCATATGCTCCTTGTCGGTGCTAGTGGGGTTGGTAAAACTGTCCTATCAAAGTTCGTCAGCTGGATGAACGGCCTCTCTGTCTATCAGCTCAAGGTAAGAGTACTTCACTCTGTATTCAACGAAAGGTGTTGCTCTATCATCAGACCGGTAAGTCATATGATATCCACTCTTTCGAGGCTGACCTTCGGCATGTTATGAAGCGTGCTGGGGTGAAAGGAGAGAGAATATGCTTCATCTTCGATGAGTCTAACGTCCTCGGCCCAGCTTTCCTCGAGAGGATGAATGCTTTACTTGCTGGTGGAGAGGTGATTGCAATCTTGCCACCGACCCATAGCCCTGTTGGTACCTTGCCTAGGTCCCTGGTCTATTCGAAGGCGACGAGTATAACAACTTGATCCAGGAGTGCCGTAGCAGTAACGAGACCGCCACTACAGCGGACGCCAACGAGCTATTCTCTACTTTACGAAAGAGTATGGACGATGCTAATGATGCTCAGCGAGCTGTGTCAGCCTTTGGTCCCATTTGA